TATTCTCCATTCTAGTAGGCTCTATTATTTGCTGGTTTAAATTGAATTTTGTGCAGAGATTTAAAAGCTCGTGTGAGTGTGAGTTTTCATCAGAGCTGCCTCCTGGTGTTATTACTGCAAAAATATTATTTGTTATATTCCTCCATTTTAGGTGCCTTAAGTTGAAATCCCCCAGGAGCAAGATGTTGGGTGCAGGAGCTGGAAGATTTTCCAGACAGTGGTCAATTTTTAACAGCTGTTCCTGGAATTGCTGGGATGTTGCATCCGGAGGCTTGTAGACTACCACAATGACTAGGTTTTGGTTCTCGACCTTTACTGCTAAAACTTCCACTACATCATTTGAGGCATTAAGCAGTTCTGTGCAAACAAGTGACTCTGCAATGTACAGGCCAACCCCCCTCCCCTTTTGCCTGTTCACTCTGTCACATCTGTATAGGTTGTAACCTGGGATCCATATTTCGTTGTCCAAGTGATCCTTTATGTGGGTCTCAGTGAAAGCCGCGAACATTGCCTTTGCCTCTGCAAGCAGTCCACGGATGAAAGGTATTTTGTTTGTTGCTGGCTTTAGACCCTGTATATTTGCAAAGAAGAATGTCATCGGACTGGTGGTATTGTTGGTACTGGGGGGGATTTTTTTTCCGGCATTAGTATCTGTATCTGTTGGTTTGGAGTGGAGGCCATCGACTGTGGTTCCACTCCAGGAATGACTGGATTTGGTGTACAATTTCTGCCATTTCCTGCCAGTTTTTTTTCCTTCCTGGCACTAAAAAACCTCTCCCTCTTGAGTGGCTGTGGCTACCCAGGTTTTCCCATGGCCTGGATGTTTTGTATCTTTTTGTCCCCTTTAGATGGTGTGCCTGGCAATTTAAGTTATAGCACAGTCTTTCCTGTACTGAAGAGGTACACATTTCAGGGTGAAAAAGCTTACAGGAAGGGAGTTTGCATTTTCCTGTTGTCATATGGGCACGGCATTTTCTAGGGTGGTCATAGTTGCACGTCCCATCTGTTTTTCCAGATTTCCCATGTCTGCAGATACCAAGTGCATAGTATGTGCACAGGCTTGGTTTCCGTTTGCCTTGGGTTTCTGTGACTGTATTCCCTGTTGGTGCATGTTTACCTGTCTTATTCCTATCTTCCCTAGCACCAACAATGGAGCTCCCACCAGTTGTTTTTGGTAATATATCCTCACTATTGCTAGTGGAGTCCTCTTGTTTGCTATTTCCTGTAGTATTTCTTGTTTGCAATATTGGTTTTATCTTATCTTTGACTACACTTGTTTCCCCACTACGGCTCCTGTCCCCTATGAGGTCATTTATATGCATTCCTTCCTGCGTATAATTCCCGACTACCTGGACAAAATCTCCAGCTTCACCATTTGTCTCCCAGGACAGCACCTCCAGCTTCACCATTACTGTCTCCCAGGACAGCATCTCCAACTTCACCATTACTGTCTCCCAGGACAGCACCTCCAGCTTCACCATTACTGTCTCCCAGGACAGCACCTCCAGCTTCACCATTACTGTCTCCCAGGACAGCACTATCAGCCCCACATTTACTGACTACAAGGACATCACCTCCAGCCTTACAGTTTCTGACTACATGGCCAGTATCAAGGGCAGTACCATTCAGCCCAGACTTTTTATGTTCCCATCTGTTGTAGAAAGCTTCCAGGTTGTCTATGAAAGCAGCTTTGATGTTATCCTGTTTTAATTGCCGAGGTAGTTCGTAGCCACCTTGAAAAGCATAAATTAATCAACGAATCTCGGCATGGTTTTACAAAGGGGCGTTCCTGCCTTACGAATTTATTAACTTTTTTCACTAAGGTATTTGAGGAGGTAGATCATGGTAATGAATATGATATTGTGTATATGGACTTCAGTAAGGCTTTTGACAGGGTCCCACATCAGAGACTATTGAGGAAAATTAAGGCACACGGAATAGGAGGAGAAATTTTTTCCTGGATAGAGGCATGGTTGACAAATAGGCAGCAGAGAGTTTGCATAAATGGGGAGAAATAAGAGTGGGGAAGCGTCACGAGCGGTGTTCCACAGGGATCAGTGTTGGGCCCCCTGCTGTTCACAATCTACATAAACGACATAGATGAGGGCATAAAGAGCGACATCGGCAAGTTTGCCGATGACACCAAAATAGGCCGTCGAATTCATTCTGACGAGGACATTCGAGCACTCCAGGAAGATTTGAATAGACTGATGCAGTGGTCGGAGAAGTGGCAGATGCAGTTTAATATAGACAAATGCAAAGTTCTAAATGTTGGACAGGACAATAACCATGCCACATATAAACTAAATAATGTAGATCTTAATATTACGGATTGCGAAAAAGATTTAGGAGTTCTTGTTAGCAGTAATCTGATACCAAGACAACAGTGCATAAGTGTTCGCAATAAAGCTAATAGAATTCTTGGCTTCATATCAAGAAGCATAAATAATAGGAGTCCTCAGGTTGTTCAACTCTATACATCCTTGGTTAGGCCTCATTTAGATTATGCTGCACAGTTTTGGTCACCGTATTACAGAATGGATATAAATGCTCTGAAAAATGTACAAAGGAGGATGACAAAGTTGATCCCATGTATCAGAAACCTTCCCTATGAGGATAGACTAAGGGCCCTGAATCTGCACTCTCTAGAAAGACGTAGAATTAGGGGGGATATGATTGAGGTGTATAAATGGAAGACAGGAATAAATAAAGGGGATGCAAATAGTGTGCTGAAAATATCTAGCCTAGACAGGACTCGCAGCAATGGTTTTAAGTTGGAAAAATTCAGATTCAGGAAGGATATAGGAAAGTACTGGTTTGGTAATAGAGTTGTGGATGAGTGGAACAAACTCCCAAGTACAGTTATAGAGGCCAGAACGTTGTGTAGCTTTAAAAATAGGTTGGATAAATACATGAGTGGATGTGGGTGGGTGTGAGTTGGACCTGATAGCTTGTGCAACCAGGTCGGTTGCCGTGTTCCTCCCTTAAGTCAATGTGACCTGACCTGACTAGGTTGGGTACATTGGCTTAAGCCGGTAGGAGACTTGGACCTGCCTCGCATGGGCCAGTAGGCCTTCTGCAGTGTTCCTTCGTTCTTATGTTCTTACAAAACAAGTGACCCACCAAACCGCAGCAACCCCGCCCCAATGCAATTCCCACCTTCAAAACCCAAGTTCAGCTAACTAATGTCCCTTGAATACCTTCAGAGATGTTACCTTGCTCACACTCCAGCAGCACATCATATACCACAAACCACATGTCTCACTCAACACGTGCCTGCAGGATTCTCAAATACTTACCTCTCAAAAAACTCTTCATAACCTAAGGTTATGGAAATTCTACAGAAACCAGATTTTTGTAAATTTCTAAAGCATTTCCAGAGTCTTAACAAACCGCTTACTACCTTACCTGGACACTGCGATGAGATGACACCAGCCAGGAACGTCACGTCTACACCAGGAAGCACTTTACTAGTTACTCCACTGTTGATAGATCCTTCTCGAACCCACCTCACCTCTACTTTTTTAAACCATTTATCACCTCACCTCAGTTGTACTATTACTACTACTACCACTTCTACCCTCTCACAGCTTGTCACCTGACCCCCGCCACTATAAATATTTTTTCTTAGATGACTCTATATTAGTATTGAAAAAGTCACTTGTATGGAAACTTTTACTCACTGAAGGTACTCGAGACTGTTCAGCTCGCACCTGTGTGTCGTCCTGTATTGTTTCTAAATATGAATTTTTCCAGTTTGAACCCTTTGCTGCGAGTCCTATTTTGCTTAAATAACGTGCTCAAAATATGTAACCAAGACAGGACTCGCAGCAATGGGTTGAAAATTGAAAACTTCAGGTTCAGAGAAGACAGATAGGGACTGGTTCGGGAACAAGAGTTGTGGAGCGTCACTGAAGAGAGAAGCTTAGGTGGCTCTGAAAATAAGACGGACAGGTGTACATGAATGGGTGAAGATAAATGGTATAAAATACCTACACGATGGAAAAATAAGGGATCGCATTATACTTCATTTGTTTATTTTTGCATGAGTGGGTGTGGGTGGATGTGAGTTGGACCTGCCTAGTATGGGCAAGTAGGCCTGTTTCAGTGTTACTTTTTTATGTTCTTATGTTTTGCCTCTGTACTGTGACTGAAGAAGCTTGCTGAGCTAGCCAAATATCTCGTCAATATAAATATGAAACTAATGAACGTGCTTTTTATGATCCTCTGACCTGTAGTAAATTTACATAAATGAAATTTAAAAAAAGAAATCGGAGGAACTTAGTGTGTTAGTCTTCAGGCTTAACAATACACACGAGCCATGACAGATGCATTTCATTTTTAAACTAACAAACAATACCTTAATCCCTAAAATAAAATTCAAGCAATTTCTGTGTATATAAATTGAGAGTTGAGCACATTTATGGTATATAGTTTTTAATTACATTTAAAGTCGGTGGACAGTGACCTGCGCGAGGGTCATTAATGATGCAGTTCACCTTCATGTTTAATTGAAGCATCCTTTAAACCTTGAACAGGGATTTAAATCTGTTAGTTGTACAGTCATTCGACAACACCTTGACCATTAAACCTTAATTAACTTGTATACTAATATCCCCTGATGCCAAAATAGAAAAGAAAGTACAGTCTCAGTGTAAATAAACTGCGGGACACATCTCTCTGTATATACCTTGAGGTGGAAGATTTAAAAGATTTTTTTTATTGGTTTAAAGCGCAGCGCGCATGCCTGTTCAGGCGCCGCTGTCTACATCGACCAGCTGGTGGACAAGTTGCCAGTAATAGCATGGACAAAAATCATATAATTAATAAACTTTCCAAGACATTGTTTTTTTATTTGCGATTATCAGATTTCGGTGATATAATAATGAAAGAGATAAAGGAATAGTTCGCAGAAGCGTACTGTTTCGGGAAAAATGAATATATTATTGTAGGAGCGGTGAAGGTGTGGCATCGAGTACAACGTTTGGCGGGTTGTCAAGAGAGTGGATCAGTAGAGCTGTGTCAGCTGTAGGGGGTTGTACTCTCGTGTGTTTCCTGACGCGTCGACGCTTGTGGATCTAGCAACCTTAAATATACCTCATTTTATATTAGTGTTAAAGACTAACCGCTCTAGGTTTACCCTCCCCCCCCCTGCAACGTATCCTGGTGGTGGTGATATTCGTGATGTCGTCCCTACTTAGAGCTCTCTTTAATGGAGCCAGCAAACACAAGAGTGAGTTATTTGTATTTACTCTCAAAACTTTTCTCTTTATTCATTTTAACTATTGCATGTTGAATTTGTAACTTTGGCACGTATATATAGCCTATCATCTTGCAGCAGATTATCAGCATAGGAAGGCTTATCTTGCTAATGTTATCAGTATGAAGTGTGATATAAGCGAGGTTGTTTATTGCACACACGTGGGATGGTGGCCAACCTGTCAAGAATTCTGGCACCACCAGTTATTTGGCACTGCTGGTGGCAGTGGCCTTATGTCTTCATTCTCGCCACAATTCCTGTTTTACTGCAGAATCATTATGCGCAATAAAGATCTGACCTTGTACAAGGTTACATGAATGTCTGAAAGCCTTCCAGGTGCTATAAAACCCCTCCGGGTTTACCCCCTTCTTTTTTTATTTAAATAAGTTTAAACTTATCGCTATACTCGCGGCTACCGGACTAGGATAGGCCTATCTTCATACAGAATGCAATCCTATTCCGGTCTTTTTTGTCGCGAGTCTTAACGATAATAAATTTTATATTGCTGAAAATAAACTATACCTCTACACATTTCTCGTGCCAATTATTTTTGGAGATGTTAGACAAATATTGACGCTTAGCCAACGTGGGAAAAAATGAATTAAATGTAAATACACTCCAGTCCCATATTTACCACTGCAGGTGTAAGGCAGTTTTTAAGTTTAGATTAATTTTTCATAAGTTTGCACGAAGTGATAACCAGTCTTAATTGACATTTTCAGGAAGTTATCGCCAAAACTCGGAACCCGGATCTTTATAATTAAAATGCTTGATTGAATCCTCATTGCCCTCTCTCAAGCTGACAATTCAGAAGAGTATGATATTCATCCTCTGAAGTTTTGGTTCGACTTGGCTCCGGAAGAAGTTTCATTCTTTGTGTCTAGTGTAGTACCGTTTACAGCCCTACAAGGTCATGGCGAGCCTTCAGCACAAGTGGTATATCAATAAGTTAGTTGTTGCAGACACCCTGTAGTGTCTTCGGGCCTGTGTATGATGGTGGTGGGAGTCGTGTACTAGACACTCCTCTGCGAGTGGGAAAAGTGGCAGACCTCATTGGGATTAGGCGCTAGTGCAGTAGTCAGGGTTGGTTAAATCTGGAATCTGAATCTGTTCTCGCTAGTATGAGGCTCTCGACTCGTAAAAGCCCTGCTCCATTTGAGCCATTTCTGGCACACGGGCCGTAGCCCGAGCGCCTGAGTGACTTGGAGATTCTCTGGGAGAGAGTACGAAGGGTGTACCTGGAGGGTGTTCCTGGGGTTAAACGCCCCCGCGGTCCGGTCCATGACCAGGCCTCGCAGTGGATCACCTGATAAACCAGCCTTCCCATCCTTTGCCTTCATGTGGCCCCCTTGAATGAGTGGCGTGTAATGCAGAGTATCTTTATACCAGGAACTGGAGTTTTCCTTGTGCTGAATTAAAATTTTCTAATTTGTCAAGTATTTTGTCTCCTACGGCTTTAGCGTTTGATCATTAACACTTCCTAACACATTTTTTTTCCTTATTTTTCAACCCTTTGCTGGGAGCTTTTCATTTTAAGAACATTTTTCTCCTATACATGACAAGAGCTCCTTCACATCCCCCTCCCCGTCCCTCTCCAATTTGTCACTAGATCATTTTGGTAAAGGTATCAAATGACAGTTGGGTATCTTGGCTAATCCTGAAAGTGTCGACTTATGGACGACACAACACCAGAATTCTGTCAAGAACCTGACTTGGAAAGACCCAGAGTAAATATCGTCAGTAAGTCTTCCTTGTCTTCAGACTATGATTTATAAATATAGGAGCACTGCAGTAGATCTAATGAATGCTCTCTCAAAACCAAACTCAAATTTAACTATAATCCATTGTAGAGTTTTTAAATATTTTCAGCACCATTCTCCTTTATTCCTGTTTCCCATTAACAAATCTCCAAGATTTGATACAGGGGATTTAAGCTTTATAGTTTTCTAATTAAATTCTTTGCAGTCTATGCTGCTTAATTTAAACTGGGTCTTGTTAAAGGGCTTTCATTTATAATTTCTGATGCAACTATTTTTTTCACTAAAATTAGCAATTCATGTTGGCTGTCAGTTTGGCATAATTTATATCCCTATATGTAGAATTCAGCAGGCATGTCGTATGGGATTGAACAAAGTTTCATTTATGCAGTTATGTTGCATTAGTCTGTTCATTTTCTTGCCCTAATTTATAAAATACTAATAATGTTTCTTAACTTTTGTCTCATTTTAAGACCAATTTACCTTTTTTTATAAGCTTTTAGCAATCATGTTTTCTGAACTTTAATGAATTCACACATCTTGTCAAATCTTGCTTTCCTTACCAAGTTCTTAGACCTCCCCTCCTCCCCTCACACACTAAGACCTCTATCAGCATAGTCCTAGACATTCTAGCAATGGCTCAGGCACTACACCGTGAATGTAAAAAATCATAAATAACCTGCACTTGGACAAACTTCGAAGACCAGTAACTTAGTTAATGGTCCAAGTCAGACAAACTCCAGTGAGGGTTTTATGAATTGGCCTGTTGTCACCTGTCATTGGTCTGTGACTGGGTAGCGGGAAATTCCTGGAAGAGGTGTGCAGGCTGGACGGGGAAAGTGAAGAGGGGATGACCTCAAACTAGCGAAATTAGTGGTAAATGGAAGTAACTTTAGGTATAATGTTCAACCTCCCCTTTCTCCCTCCCTGGCACGTGTGAAAGTCGATGTAAACACTGACAACGCTGGTAGAACTGACGGTAAAAAGTTTCAACTCCTTGGTAGTAATTTAATGCTCTGAAGTCTGTTAGGTACGGAAGGTAAGGGAGGCTAGCTTGAAGGTCACGTGATCAGCTGGTGATCACGTGCAGTTTTCCCTCCCTCTCCCATCACTGCCCTCGCAACACCATCCTCCCTCCCTCCCTCCAGTAACATCTTTCCCTGGTTACTGTAACCTGGTGACTTTTCATTTTAATATATTTAAATATTTCCTTTCTAATAGTGCTGAATGTGCATGGTCAGAGCACTTTTAAATTTGAAAGCTACATTCAACGTTTTCCCTAAACACCCTAGCCTATACCCGCACCTTCCTTTACCCTTCATAAGTAAGTTAGTTTATTCAGGTATACACAAATAGTTACATAGAATTATCATACATAGCAGCATATGTGTAGAGAACCTAGGATAACCCTTGTTACCTTACTTCATTTAATCCGCTCTCCATCTCCCCTTGCTAGAATGAGTATCTTTTTTCCGTATTTTTTTTTTAACTAAGGTTCATTTACATGTTGGTTATAGTATCCTAAAAGTTTGTCATTGCCTTTGTGAATCCTTTCGTAGCTAAGGTTCAGAAATATCACTAAATTGCTCAGAATTAAGCGAGTCATTTCCCTTCACCTATTAATGTATTCTGTTCTCCCACCACTCTCATCCTTCAAATTGGAAAGCTGTTTTACTCCTTAAAGTAGGAATTTAAGCTTGCCTTTCGTATAATTTCTCTAACATATTTGTCATTAAATATGGTAATATAATTTGTTACACAGATAACCCGCACATAGAAGAGAGGAGCTTACGACGACGTTTCGGTCCGACTTCGGTCCTAATGGTTGTAAGTTCCTCTCTTCTATGTGCGGGTTATTTGTGTATCGTTCCAGTCACGGTATTGTGCTTTTTTATGCTGCATAATGAGTATAATTTTTTCAGGCGGTCTTCCTAATACTCAGGGGCGTCGCCGAGGGGGGGGGGCTTGGGGCAAGGGGCGCTTGAACCCGCTTTAATATTCCATTAAACCCACTCATAAAGATTTCAAATAAAAATAACAATGCTTAAGTCTCGTAGCTCCCTCCTTCCAACCTAACAGCCACTCCCTAAGCCCCCATATTCATGAAAGATCAAAACTATGGCAGAAACTATTTAAAATTCTAATCCAAACTCAGGTTAACTAGCATTTTAAAGTTTAGTTAAGTGAATTAAATGAACTTTAGATTTAAAGTATTGTTAATCACTTAGCATGAAACGAGAAAAAATAATTTTAAAAGAGCAACACAGACCCCAACTTATGCCTAAAACAGATTAACTTTGTGGCACTCGATGTATGCACAAGGCTTATTCATCTAAGAAAAAGGAAGAGTAGATGTAAAATAGAATGAGACAGGCGCTTCCTTTACAGGCGACGGAAAAGAACAGAGCGGCTAAAAGAGGTCAATATATCTGAAAGGCGTAGGGAGACACTGGTCAGAGAAATAGCAAGCATCGAACTTAAGCTAAAGGAATCTTATAGGAGTCGGGAATCGCGGGAAGAACTAAAAGCCATAAATGAAATCGAAAGAAACCCAAAGTATTTCTTCTATGCCAAATCAAAGTCGAGAACAACGTCCAGTATTGGGCCCCTACTTAAACAAGATGGGTCCTACACAGATGACAGCAAGGAAATGAGTGAGCTACTCAAGTCCCAATATGACTCAGTTTAGCAAGCCGCTAACCAGACTGAGAGTCGAAGATCAAAATTATTTATTTTATGGGAGAGCCACAGAATTTGGTTAACACAAGCCTATCCGATGTTATCCTGACGCCAAATGACTTCGAACAGGCGATAAATGACATGCCCATGCACTCGGCCCCAGGGCCAGACTCTTGGAACTCCGTGTTCATCAAGAACTGCAAGAAGCCCCTATCACGAGCCTTTACCATCCTATGGAGAGGGAGCATGGACACGGGGGTCGTCCCACAGTTACTAAAAACAACAGACATAGCCCCACTCCACAAAGGGGGCAGTAAAGCAACAGCAAAGAACTACAGACCGATAGCACTAACATCCCATATCATAAGAATCTTTAAAAGGGTCCTAAGAAGCAAGATCACCACCCATCTAGAGACCCATCAGTTACACAACCCAGGGCAACATGGGTTTAGAACAGGTCGCTCCTGTCTCTCAACTATTGAATCACTACGACAAGGCCCTAGATGCACTAGAAGACAAAAAGACTGCAGATGTAAT